TTAGGAGCTTTATCTGCCATTATGTATTCTTAAGCATGTAATTATTTTGATATTAATCTCGTATGTTTTATTGAATTTCATTTTCTATCTGGTAATTGCTAGTATGGAGAAATTAGATGATTAAATCAATGTTATAAAGTATAAATTAAGAAATTTACAATAGAACTATAACACTTTTAAAACATATAATTAAATGCATATTTACAAATCTTACACACAAGTAGGACAGCACTGTAATCACAGTATAGAATTTCCATAAGTCCAAAGTTTCTTGTAACCCTTTGCAGTTCATCACTCTTTCAACCCTCAGCCCCAAGGAGCCAGTGTCACTTTAGGTCATTTTGCGTTTTAACCATTTATATAGTAAATTATACTTGTGTTCTTTTGTGTCTGCCTTCTTTCATGAATCATGTTAATTTTAAAATCCATCCATATGAGTATTTTCATCAACAGTTAATACCTCACTTGTAAGTGCTGGGTAAGTATTATTCCTTTGTGTGAATTTACACCATGTTTGCATTTTTATCATTCACTTGTTGACTGACATTTGTGTCATTCCAGGTTGAAGCTATTATGAATAAAGTATCATAAGCATCCACATACAAATCATTGTGCAGACATAGTATGTAAATTCCTAGGAATGGAACTGAGAGACAGGACTAGCTGGATTCCTAGGCCAACTAAGAACCCCGAAGTATAATAGTTGGAAGGTGACCACATCCACCCCTTCACAAACACAGGGCTTGCAACTTAGCTCACGCCTTGCCAATCAGGTAGTAGAGAGAGCTCACTAAAGTGCTAATTAGGCAAAAACAGGAGGTAAAGAAATAGCCAATCATCTATTGCCTGAGAACACAGTGGGAGGGACTGATGGGATATAAACCCAGGCGTTTGAGCCAGCAGCAGCTACCCACTTTGGATCCCCTCTTTTTGTAGGAGCTGTGTTTTCACTCTATTAAATCTTTTAGCTGCACAGTCTCTGGAGGCCGTGCTTGTTTACAGCTCGAGCTGAGCTTTCGCTTGCCATCCACCACTGATGTTTGCCACCCTGCTCACAGACCCAACGCCAACTTCCATCCCTCTGGATCTGGCAGGGTGTCCGCTTTCTGCTCCCTGATCCAGGGAGGAGCCCATTGCCGCTCCCTATCAGGCTAAAGGCTTGCCATTGTTCCTGCATGGCTGAGGCCAGAGTTCATTCATCCTAATGGAGCTGAACACTCGTCACTGGAGTTCCATAGTTCTCTTCCATGACCTACACTTCTAGTGAGCTATAACACTCATCCATTCCTTGGAATCAGTGAGACCAAGAATGAGTCAGGAACACAAGGTTGCAGCATCTTAGAAGCAGCCACCGCCACCATCTTGGGAGCTCTGGGGTAAGGACCCCCAAAATGCATAGTGCCATAACAGAAGACTGTCCATCTGATTTGTATGTGTTTAAACTGAGAAGAAACTGTTAGCCAGATTTTCAAAGGAGTCAGACCATTTTTCATTCCCACAAGTATAAGACTTCCAAGTGCTTTAGATCCTCACCAACATATTGTATTTTCCAGCCTTTTTATCGTTCTCGTGGATATGTAATGAGTATCTCAGCACTGCTTGGTTGATCACAGATGACTAAAGAGTTGAGCATCTTTTACTGTGCTAATTGACTATTCATGTATCTTCTTTTCTGAAGTATCTGTGTTAAACCTTTTGCCAAATCGTTCCTTTGTACTGTTTATCTTATCAGACTACATTATATATATGCCATTAAAAAAATCCTTTGATATTTGATATAGGGGCGGAGCAAGATGGCGAATAGGAACAGCTCCAGTCTCAACTCCAGCGGGGCGACAAGAAACCGGTGATTTCTGCACATTTCAGCTGAGGTACTGGGTTTCATCTCACTGCAGGAGTCGCTGGACAATCGGTGCTGGTGGCCTATTTGCAGCCCGACCAGCGAGCTGGCTGAGAAGGCTCGCTCACCTGGGAAGCACAAGGGGGAAGGAATCCCTTTTCTAGCCAGAGACTGAGACACTGGCACTGGAAAATCGGTACTCCACCCCAATACTGCACTTTAAGCAAACAGGCACACCAGGGAGATTATATCCCACCTGGCCAGGAGGTCCCATGCCACAGAGCCTCCTCATTCTGCTTTGTGATCTGTGATCTACCGGCAAGGCAGCAGCAAGGCTGGGGAGGGCGCCCACCATTGCTGAGGCTTGATAGGTAAACAAAGCTGCTGGGAAGCTCGAACTAAGGTGGAGCTCACAGCAGCTCAAGGAAACCTGCCTGTCTCTGTAGACTCCAACTCTGGGGACAGAGCACAGTAAACAATAGCAAAGCAGCAGAAACCTCTGCAGGCTGAAAAGAAAGCTACTCTGTCTGACAGCTTAGGGAGAGGCAGTGGATCCTCCAACACGAGTTGAGATCTGAGAGGACAGACTGCCTGCTCAAGTGGGTCCCTGACCCTGGGTAGCCTAACTGGGGAGACATCCCCACTAGGAGCACAGTCATGCCCACACACCTCACAGGTGGAGTCACACCCCCTGAGAGGGAGGCTTCCCAAAGCAAGAATCAGACAGGTACACTGCGCTGTTCAGCAATATTCTATCTTCTGCACAGCCTCTGCTGCTGATGCAGGCAAACAGGAGTCTGAGTGGACCTCAAAGGCTCAACAGACCTACAGCTGAGTCCTGACTGTTAGAAGAAAACATCAAACAGGAAGACACTGCAAAACCCCATCAGTACGTCACCATGTCAAAAGACCAGAAACCAGATAAAACCACAAGATGGGGAAAAGCAGAACAGAAAAGCTGAGAAATTCAAAAATAAGGCGCATCTCCCTGGCAAAGGAGAAGCAGCTCGCCGCAGCAATGGATCAAAGCTGGACGGAGAATGGCTTTGGCGGATGACAGAAGAAATCAGTCCATCAGACTTCTCAGAGCTAAAGGAGAATTAAGTACCTTTCAAAGAAACTAAAAATCTTGAAAAAAACGTGGAAGGGTGATGGCTAGAGTAATTAATGCAGAAGGTCATAAACAAAATGAAGAGATGAAAACCATGACGAAATATGTGACAAATGCAAGCTTCGACCTTGACTCGATCAACTGGAAGAAAGAGTATCAGCGACTGAGGATCAAATGAATGAAATGAAACAAGAAGAGAACCAAAGAAAAAGAAGAAAAAGAATGAGCAATGCAAGAGTATGGGATTATGTAAAAGACCAAATCTATGTCTGATTAAAGGGTGCCTGAAAGTGAGAAAAATGGAGAACCAGGTTGGAAAACACTCTTCAGGATATCATCCAGGAGAACTTCCCCAACCTAGTAGGAGCAGGCCAACATTCAAAATTCAGGAAATACAGAGAACATACAAAGATACTCCCAGAAGAGCAACTCCAAGACACATAGGTACCAGATTCACCAAAGTTGAAATGAAGGAAAAAAATCTTAAGGGCAGCCAGAGAGAAAGGTCAGTTACCACAAGGAAGCCCATCAGACTAACAGCAGATCTTTCGGCAGAAACTCTGCAAACCCAGAAGAGAGTGATTATTCCATTCTTAAAGAAAGAATTTCCAACCCCAAATTTCATATCCAGCCAAACTAAGTTTCATAAGTGAAGGAGAAATAAAATCCTTTACAGATAAGCAAATGCTTAGAGATTTTGTCACCACTAGAGACCCTGAAGGAAGCACTAAACATGAGAAAAGGAACAACCAGTACCAGCCACATTTGCAAAACATGCCAAAATGTAAAAACCATCAAGGCTAGGAAGAAACTGCATCAACTAACGAGCAAAATAACCAGTTAATATCTGTGGCAGGATCAAGTTCACACATAACAATACTAACCTTAAATGTAAATGGATAAATGCCACAATTAAAAGATACGAACTGGCAAACTGGATAAAGAAGTCAAGACCCATCAGTCTGCTGTATTCAGAACCCATCTCACATGCAGAGACATCATAGGCTCAAATAAAAGATGGAGGGAGAAGATTTACCAAGCAAATGGAGAACAAAAAAAAAGCAGGAGTTGCAATCCTAGTCTCTGATAAAACAGACTTTAAACCATCAAAGAATCAAAGAGACAAAGAAGGCCATTACATAATGGTAAAGCGATCAATTCAACAAGAAGAGCTAACGCTCTTAAATATATATGCACCCAGCACAGGAGCACCAAGATTCATAAAGCAAGTCCTTGAGAGACCTGCAGAAAGAGACTCTCTCTCTCTCTCTCTCTCTTTCTTTCTTTCTTTCTTTCTCTTTCTCTCTCTCTCTCTCTCTTTCTTTCTTTCTTTTTCTTTCTTTTCTCTCTCTCTCTCTCTCTGTTTCTCGCTCTCTGTATTTCTTTTTCTTTTTTTTTGAGACAGAATCTCTGTCTGTCACTCAGGCTGGAGTGCAGTGGTACAATTATGACTCACTGCAGTCTCTGCCTCCTGGGTCCAGATGACTCCCCATCAGCCGCCCAGGTGGTGCGATGACAAACACGCACCACCATGTCTGGCTAATTTTCATATTCTGTGTAAGATTGGTTCACCACATTTTCCCAAGCTGGTCTTGAACTCCTGAACTTAAGTGACCCACCTAAACCTCGCAAAGTACAGTTACAGGTATGAGCCACTGCACCCAGCTGTGTCTTAGTATGTAAATCAAACCAATATGTATGTATGCAGCCTGTCCTCAGAACTGATCTTCCTCAGCCTATAAGAGGCAGGAGGGACAAAGAATAGAGAAGCTACCTGGGAGAATGTTTAAACTTCCTCCCCTTCATCATGAAGGGTTCATTCTCTACAACCAGAGCAGGTTTCACCACATTTCCCAAGCTGGTCTTGAACTCCTGAACTTAAGTGACCCACCTAAACCTCGCAAAGTGCTGGGATTACAGGTATGAGCCACTGCACCCAGCTGTGTCTTAGTATGTAAATCAAACCAATATGTATGTATGCAGCCTGTCCTCAGAACTGATCTTCCTCAGCCTATAAGAGGCAGGAGGGACAAAGAATAGAGAGGCTACCTGGGAGAATGTTTAGAGCTTCCTCCCCTTCATCATGAGAGGGTTCATTCTCTACAACCAGAGCAGAGTCGACTTTGTCTTCCTCAGATGTGATTTTGGTGCTCCTGTGAGGCTGGTGGGAGTCAGATGGGTCGTGAGTATTTGAACAAGTGACTGCACGTTCCTTCAGTGAGTCCTGAGGGACTTCCTTTCCTTCAGCCATCTGCACCTCCCTGATGAGCCCAGTGGGATAGAAATGACAGAAGATTAAACCAAAAGGCATTGGACCAGGAAGTCCTACTGGTTTTGACAGGAGGCATAAGAGAGTGGTCTCAGAAAGCAAAGGGGAGTTTCCCTTTAAGAAGGAACAGACAGGCTGGGTGCGGTGGCTCACGCCTGTAATCCCAGTACTTTGGGAGGCCAAGGCAGGCGGATCACAAGGTCAGCAGATTGAGACCACGGTGAAACCCCGTCTCTACTAAAAATACAAAAAATACAGCCGGGCGCGGTAGTGGGCGCCTGTAGTCCCAGCTACTCAGGAGGCTGAGGCAGGAGAATGACGTGAACCCGGGAGGCGAAGCTCGCAGTGAGCCGTGATCACACCACTGTACTCCAGCCTGGGGGACACAGTGAGACTCCGTCTCAAAAAAAAAAAAGGAACAGACAATCCTCTCCTCTCTGCAACAGAGCAGAGAAAACCAGAGAGGAAACAGTGGCTGGTGATCATTGCACTGGGTAGGTAGGAGCTGAGGATGGAGACTCAGAAGTCTCTGTATGGTACAGTCTTGAGAGCACACACAGAGACGAAAAACAGCTGCCACATGGTGTGTCTAAGCTGGGTTGTAGTTAACATACTGTGGCCACAGGAATACAGGCCTTTGAGCCATTGTAGACTCCAGAGATGGTGTGCCTTCTAAATTTATTTTTATTTTAATATTGTGACATGAAATGTAAATTCTTTGTCTAGGTACTTTTCTTTGTGTTCAACTTTGCTAGGTACTTCCTAATTCCTCTGTTTGTTGCCTCTCTGCTATTTATCTTTTCTTAAAAGAACATAAAGACAACCGTGTAGAAAGCAGCTTTGCATCTTCTCCTGGCTTTCACTGCAGGGGAGAACAGGTCCCCTCTGTGTGTGCAGGAAGACCCTTGGGCTGTGAGTTCATCTAGGGTCATGCTTGCAGGTACCATGAAGACAATGGACAAGCATGTTAACAGGGCTATTTCCTTGCTGGGTGAGTGCATGAAATCAGTGGACTCTGCAGCTTTCCTATCCTGCATCTGGAATCTGTCACTACCTTCACCTGCCTTGTGTTCTTTCTGAGACCCTTTTCATATTTTACCACCCATTACCTGCTCCTGATTATTCAGTGTTACCTGGGGGCAGGTGATTCCTGTACTTTCTCAATCTCCTCATCTTTCTCATCTTCATCCTCATCTTCATCATTCTCTGCAAATACAGAAGTGTCCATTCAGATATTTCCTACTTCACCTATGCAAGTACAGTGAGCCCTATGTGCACGGAGACACAAACATCTATATGTATGAGACCAGATTGTACAAGATCTCTCATGTTTTATCTTTAACAAAATGCCCTGGAATGGTTTCCTAATCCATGAGGCAATGCATTTCTGATCTGCAGGGTCACCATCAAGATGTGGCCAAATATTGAAAAGACTTTTTCCTCTTCATATCACTGCAGGCTTGTCCAGCCTCTCTCTGAACTTCAGCAGCTGTCTCCCCAATCCTGCCACAGATCTGATTCCCAGGCACAGGCTCTGTGTCCTGTCATAGCTCGCATTTGGAACCTGTATCTCTCTCTTAGAACAGTATAAACAGCCTTGTCCCACAATACTCCATACATCAGGGACTTCATGGGCCCCCCAAGTGGCTTATACTGTGTTATCCAGGGACACTGTCTCCATGGGGAGTGCTCCAGCCTCAACCACTTCCTACCACCAAATGCCAGCACTTCAAATACCTTCTCCAACAGCACACAGCAAGGGGCTTTATCTCACTGTGCAATATAGTCATTAGTGTTCCCACATTTGAATGCCAGAGACAATTTGTTTGCCTTTACAGATTTAGAGACAGAAACCCAGGAAGGATAAATTAATCAGTTGACCACAGTTGCTAAGGACGTCATTGAAGATAGAGCCTGGGAACCTTCACTCTTAGGCCGGGCTCTTTTCACTCTAACAAGCTACCTCCTGTCACAGCCTCTTCCTGTCCTTTAAAACTGGGCAAATGCTGCCGCTTGCTCCAAAGACCATGTTCCATCAAGAAAGGAGGAGACCTTTGCAATACTGTGACCTCCAACCCCATGGGTTTCCCATCTCTGTTTTTACCCAGGAAGTCCTGGTCATGGCACAGCCACAAATGTTTACGGGAAAGATACACTATCCATAAAATGGTCATTGTGGAGGTGTGGAGGTCTGGGGACTTCCATAAGCCTAGAGCTGTGTGTCATCAGGGCCCATGGCCACCTCACCTGGACTGAGCTTGTGGAGAAGTCGCTCTGCCAGCTGGCGCCCCTCAGCCAGCTGCTCTCGGAGGTCCTGACCCTGGAACTTGTCAAGGTCATCAGGAGTGAGGAGGGCCTTGAAATGCTGATTCAGTGAGCGGGAGGCATCTCTCCCTTCCTGTAACTTCTCCCGTAACTGGGTCAGCTCTCGTGCCTGAGAGTGAACCAGGGCTTTATATTGCCTAAGGTGAGATAGTAGAGAACATTTAATCAAAGAAAGGAATGAATGATCAGTTTTAATACTACAATATAGATATCTTTCAGAATGTCTTCAAGGAGACCTCCAAGGAGAAGGTCAGCATATGTTTGGAGAAATGCCTGTGGCCAAGAGAAAAATAATAATATTAATAAAAAAATATTTTTAAAGGTGTATATATATGTATTTTAAGGCTCCCTCTATATAAGAGAGTGCTCCTTTAAGATCCTCGATGATGTTCCATTCATCTATTCTTTCTGTAAACAAAAGCCGGTGTCTTTCTAGATCAGTTCCAAATGGATTTCTTTTCAGTTCCTCACTTTGGCCATAGACATTTCTATATGGAAATTCACACAGTGCATCTTGCAGTAAATAGAGCTAAAGCCATGCAAAGAAATGTGACCAGGTGCAAATGCAGTGGATTGGTAAGATATAAGAAGAAAAAAATAACAGGGTCAAGACCACAATACTGATTGAATGAATGACATACCGCAGTCAGTCAGGAGGCGATTCTAACTAAGAGTAAATGGGGTGGTGATCACACACCATTTTGAGTGTGCTAAATGCTGCTGGGTGGTTCACTTTCTTTTGCATAACTTTGGTTATGCAAATTTCACCTCAACAATTACTTGTTTTAAAAAGAGAAAACAAGGTTTAAGAAACAACTGCAACCCATAACTTACTAAGATGACTGTTCTCTATTTTATAAATATTTGTGTGACATGTGCCTGCCATGTAAATGCCTGCCCTTGTCCTGGCCCAGCTTAGCTCTTAGTTCTCCCAGCAGAGATTCACACCCCTGCCCATCTGCCTGCCCCCAACTGGGCCTACTCACCCGAGCTCCTCAGCTTTCCTGAGCTTCTCTGCCAGCTTCTCCGTGAATTGCTGTTCATCCCTCAGCACAGAGTCTATGATGTCCTTGTACTCTTCGCATTCTGAGAAAAGACAGACATGCCTGCCTCAGTGCAAGGCTGGACATGCAGCTGGGGTCACTGCCTACAGGGCAGGTGGCAGCATCCATCCAAAAGATGAAAGCAGCCCCAGTACCAGGTTCCAGGCAGGCATTTCCACATTTTTAGTTATCAACCTCTTAACTTTCTGGCATCTGATACTCCCCAAGATAGAGATGGGGAGAAATAAACTCAAGGGCATATCAAGTAACTCGACAAGATGATTCACCTGGAACAAGGCAGAGTCAGAATTCACAGCTCCTGAGGTCTGACTCTGAATCTTGGGTTACTTCCCCAAGCCTTGCAGCCTTTCCTGTAAAACACTGCGCTGGGGCATGAAGTAATGATATCCTGCAGAGTCGGAAAGACCCTTAGCACTATGGGACTCATGGTTTCCCTGGTACTGGAAATTTCAAGCACAAGTATGTCAAATATGTAAAATATCATATCTGAATATAATTGCATAAAATATGAGGCATAACACCCAAAGGCTATAATAGAAATATGCCCTAATACTAATAAACTTTGTATTAAGTTAGACCCAGTAGAATGAAGAACTAATAGAGAGTGTTTTCTCTGTGCCAAGAACTGTTCTAGAAGATTTAGAAGAAATGGATCATGTAAGTCATTGCACCACTTTTCTGGGGTATGTATTATTATAGTACCCAGTGAACAGATGAGGAAATGTAGGCACAGAGAAGATAGGCAACTTGGATGGAACCCAGGAGCCCAGGGTCCCTGCTCTGCACACTACACCTGCTACCTCCACAATGTCTTATGTGCCAGCTTTCTTCCTCTTTAGGAATAAGAGCCTGTGCCCCAGGAAGCAGGGCTTCCCTCTCACCATGGTACTCCCTGCCCTTGATGCTGTCACTTATGGCTGCCACAGTTACTATTAGGAGCAATCTCCTCTTTAAACTCCTTAGAGCTGGTGCTGTTTATTGTCACTATGTTTCCCCCACGGTGCCCAGAATAGAACTTTGCCTAATGGGCCTCAAAGAAGTTTGAACTGAATGGAAATTCATTAGTCCCAGACATTTAGACCAACAGAGTAGATGTTACCTGTCTGCAGCATCTTACATGGTACAGAGAGGATTCTCATAAACATGATTTAGCCTATTGCTGAGAAAAACAGGTGGTTCTGTTGCCTGTGTCACCAGTCAATATGACGGTTTTAATTCTACTCTCACCGCACACCAGACTGCAAATGTGGAAAAGTTGCTAAATACTTTGTGCCTCTGTTTTCCATTCTTAACACCATGAAGTTAAAAAATCCATTTCTATTTTCCTAGAGGTATGGGAAGGATGACATTAATTTTGATGAAGAGACCGTTCAGTTTCTCAGAGGCCACAGGTGGTCATTCATCACTTTTGTGATGGTGAATCTATAGATAGAACTTACTGTATTTCTTTAGCTGGTTGGCCAGGGAGTAGGTAGTAGCTTGACTTATAAGCAATTTCTCTTTGAGGTCTCGGAACTGCTGATTGCTCTCTGCCAGCTGGGTACGCAATTCCTTGTTGATTTCTAGGATGTTCATCTCTGCCCTCTCGCTGGACAAAGGGTCGGCAGATACCACCATGCTGACGTTTGTGGCAGAAGAGTTAGAGCCAGGGACTGGGGAGAAGAAACCCAAACACATGATGGGTCAAAAAGTAGTGAAATCAGTTAGGTTTCATTAGGACTGAGAGATGACAATAACTGGAATTGTTAACTTACGGTTGAGAGAAACTTGATCAACACACCACAACACTTTAGAGTCCTTAACCACAAAAACAGGGTCCAGGATGCCTGAGCTCAGAGTTGAAGGCACTGCCTATAGCTCTGACTCTGACAAGAGTGAGGGAGGTAGCAGCCAGCGTGCCAGGTAATGGTCTGCAGTTGCAATAACAGAATTAGAAGGTGGGGGTGTCATGGAATCTTAGGAGCCCTGTATTCCAATTGCCCAGGATGTGCTGAAACACTAGGGCCCTGGTCTCACCTGAGGGTCACTGATGGGGACCATTTCTTCAGCAGTCACTCTCAGTGTTAGTGAACCCTTGTGACAATGCTACAGGCCCACCTCTTTCCCAATACATCTAAGCATATTCCTCATTGCTCATCCCTTGTGTGTATAAAATCGTCAAGGTAGAGGTAGTTTCCCAAAAGCTTATATTTTCTTAGTGGTAGTCACAAAATCACTCTACCTTCTCTAAGTTAAATCAGATCCTAAGACTTTTCCACATGTGAAAGATATCAGACTTTTAGACTGCCGTGATATCCCCTGGGTCTTCTGCATTTTTTTCTGTAGCTACTGAAAAGTGAATGAATAATTCATTTTTAAAAATATTTTCTCTCCTCGATCATTATTCCTCTTGCTGCATCCCATTGTTATGTTGATTTCTTTTCTCTTACTGGGGCAGCATCTTGGCTTTTTATTACACTTAAGACCAGTTTCACATCCCTATGTCCATAGCTCTTCCTCTATGTGTAGGTTGATTTGTTTTTTTGGTGTCACTGAACACTCGTTTCATACTTGTCACTTACAAATATCATTCTGGTCCCACAAGAGCTCTTTTCAAGGTATTAAGTGATCAAAATCATTTGTACATGTCCCCTGAAAACATGTATGACCATGTATCTTGGGAAATCTTGTAAACCCAAGGCTGTTTTGTGTTTTCAGTTTTCCCATATATTGAAAAGAACACGGCCTTGAATGCTTCTCAGAGAATATTATTGGATATATACATATGTATATATTGAGTTGCTCTAACACCGTTGATGTGTGGTTGCATTCCACTAACAGAACCTGGCAAGATCAAGCTCACAGTCAGGGGTGGTTGGTGATCCTCTGTGTTCCTGTGCAGCAGAAGGTGAGTTTGAGATGAGAGGGTCGAGTAGGGAGCGTGCTCCCCCAAACCACCTCCTCGCTTTCTCAGCTTCCATGCTCAACTAGGTTTTGTGAGGCTAGGACTTGGGAATTTGTCCTGTAGCCCAGGTCTCCTAAGTGTGGCTGCTGGACTTGCCTGAGTTGAGGGCGTGATGAGTGTGACCATGGGCTACCCAACATTCATGTGGAAGTGAAGGGAGGAGGACTGGATCAATCCCATTGGAAAGCATGCCTCATAGCAGCCCGTACCATCCTCCAACTACACTGTGTAATGACAGTGGTTTGAGATGTATTAAAGGCTGTAAATTTGTCTATTCTCTGGTGTCTCAGAGACTTGACATTCTGTGTCAGAGTGAAAATCTGTCTAGTTTCTTCATTTTAAAAATGATGAAACTGCAGGTTCACAACGTTACATGGTTTACTTGAGGTCATACAGGGATGAATTTTGAGCACTGCCAAAAAAAGGAATCACAAAAGCTATTCAGTAATTATTTATAGAATCCATGTAATTCAGTAAAAAGTCACGTAATTATTTATTCACCAATTCATACTAGGCATTTTGCTCAAAACTGTACACATACTTGGATATCGTATTTTCATCATAATCCTTAAGGCAATGTTATTTTCCGTAAGACACAGGTAAGAAACCTGAAGAAGAGGGTTAGCAAATCATGTATTTGGCCGTATTCCTATTTTTTGGTTTCTGTGATGCTGGAAGAATGACCAGAATGAGTCATGGGAAGAGCATTCATCCCTGTATCATTTTCCAGGACAGAGGTGTGCCCTCCTTCAGCATTGGGACAAAAATCAGAAGTGTCTGCAATCTTGCTTTAACAATGTTGGAAATAACCTCTATTACCTGGAATTTCACTGGAACTTTGGAATATACAAGAGAAGTATGACACTTGGGTCTTCCCTTGGCTGCAATTAATTCACTCTTCTATTGAGTACCAATAATTCTCATTAAGACTTTTGCCTTGTTATAACCACAATATATATTTTATGGAGAAGATTTTACTCTTAGCTCTATTTAGAATGAATAAATATAAGCTATGATTTAGGTTTTATGCCCTGGACTTAATATTTTTTCTGATTTCTGTTTTGAGATTAAATTCTCATGTAAACAGAAAAATGCTTCTTATTACTTATAAGAGCAAATTAGTTATTGGTTTGAGTTTCTGAAGTCGAAGCACAAACTTTTGTTTTTCATCTTTGTCTGTCCCCATCAGTGCCACTCATTATCTCTCAGTATGACCAGGCCGTGCTCCTGCACTTACCCTTGTCCTGCTGAACCATCTCCAAGCACTGTACAATTCCATCAGTGATTCAGGCTCTTCTCAAGCTCCCTGAAATGGATCCAGGTCCCAGGATGTCAGACACCTTCTAGACACAAAAGCAACACATACTGTAGAGAGTGCAGCAGGGTTCCCACCACCCTGCAGTTGGCAGTGATGTCCTAGGGCAGGAAGGAATGCTTTCCCTTTTTAGGGGGTCTTTTCTTCATGTCTCAGTGCCTCTGATCTTGTGACCACAACTGTCTTGAATGTGAAAGAATTGCTAAATTTCTGGTTTCTTTTCAATTGGCTAGAACAGGTTTATAAGACTTCCTTACTTACCCATGTCTGCTGAAGTTTGAATTCTTAGTAGTATGATTTTGGTTTTTTTCCTTGTAAGGTGAGCGGCTTGCAGAAGACTGGCCTTGTTGTACAAAAAGACGTAAACTTAATTTCTACTCAAAGCAAGTTTGAATTTGAAACTAGGGCTTCCGTTGTTCCAAAGTTGGACTGTCACTGCCTCAGGCATGTGTTCTGAAGGGCTTGTGTCTCTGCCGTACTCAGGGTAAAGTTAAGATGGAGAGCAGCAAGGCAGGTTTCCTTCAATTCTAGGTTCCCCCAAGAATTTTCTCCACTTTAAGAGACTGCATTGATTATATTCTTGTTCTGCTTTTGTGTTTGGGCTTTGGAATGATGTGATGAGGCTCAATGATTCCCACCCCCAAGTTGACCAGAGTAAGAAACACTTGGGAAGGTCAGTGCAAATACAAGTCCAGTGTCCTCCTTGCAGGGATTCTGATTCAGTGCGCTCAGGTGGGGCCTGGAATGTGTTTGTTAACATGACTCAGATGTGCAGTCCGTTTGGGGGACCCTCTGATACCATGGACCTTACAGTTGATGGGATGATTCTGTTTTGCTGATGAAGAAACCAAAGCACAGAGAGTCTGTGACTCACCCAAGTTCCCTTTACTGTAAGTACTGGAGCCAGATCTCAGGTAGAGTCTCCCTCCCACAAACCCAATTCCAAATTTTCCAATTCAGTTGTGTGGGTTCTTTACAAGTAAGTGTTTCTCTCCCCTGTACCTCATTTCTGCATCCCCGCCTCAAAATTTTTTTAAAATTTAATTTGTTTCATCTAATACATTTCCTCTCAACATGCTGTCAGCAACCTATTCTGAAAACTCACTATGTGACACCCCTCTTTTTGAGACAGGGTCTCATTCTGTTACTCAGGCTGAAGTGCAGTGGTCAGTACTGCTCACTGCTACCTCAGACTCTTGGGCTCAAGTGATCCTCCTGTCTGAACTTCCCAGTTAGCTGGAACTCTATGCACACATCACCATTCTGGCTAATTTTTAAAAATTTTTTGTAGAGATGAGGTCTTGCTATGTTGCTCAGGCTGCTCTCCAACTTCTGGCCTCAAACAATTCTCCCACCTAGGCCTCCAAAAGTGCTGGGATTACAGGAGTGAGCCATTGATCCTGGCCCTAAAAAGCTTTTTTTTTTTAAAAAAAAAAAAAAAAAAAAAGCAGGGCATGGAGATGTGGAAAGATACCTCTCTGTATTACTGTTGTTATTATTATTACTTCCAAAGTATAATTCATATATCACAAAATTCACCATTTTTATGCATATCATTCAGCATCTTTTACTATATACCCAAGGTTTTGCAGCCATCACCACTACCTAATTTCAGAATACTTTCGTAATGCCGGAAAGCATGCCTGTACTTACTGACAGCCACTCTCCAATTCCCCCATTTTTGCAGTCCCTGTGAAACACTAATCTACCTTCTCTGTATATAGATACACTTGTTCTGGGCATTTCCTGTATATGGAATAATGCAACATCACCTTTTGCATCTGCATCTCTTACTTATCACAATGTTCTCAAGGTTCATCCTTGCTGTAGCATGCATCAGTACTTCAATCCTTTTTGTGGCCAAATGATATTCCATTTTATAGTTATACCACATTTTGTTTACCTGTTCATCAACTGATGGTGGTTTGGAACGTTTCCACTTTTTCACTATTATGAATAATGCTGCTATGAACATTTTTGTACATGTTTTTTAGTGAATATCTGATTTTAATTTTCTTGGTTATATACCTAGGAGTGCAACTGCTGTATCATATATGACTTTATGTTTAAGTTTTTGAGGAACTGACAGACTGTTTTCCAATCTCAGTGGCTACAGCATTTTACATTCCCACTAATAATATATGAGAATTCCATTTCCACTATGACTTTCCAAACATATGTTGTGTTTTTTTAAAGTCACCCTTGTGGGTCTGATATGGTATCTCATTTTGATTTAAGTTTACGTTTTCCTAATGAGGAAAAACATTGAACATCTCTGCATGTGCTTGTTGGCCATTTGTATGTATCTTTTACAGAAATGTCTTTTGAAACATTTTTCCCATTTTTAAATTGGGTCATTTGTCTTTTTGCTCAC